ATTCTGAATGAGGTAGGTAGTCTCTACTCAGGCCTTGGTCTTTGAGGTGCCTGTCAAGGCCTTTGCCATGAAAGCACTAGGCTCCCAGGCAGGGACAGTGCTGAGGGTGGCGCCAGTCGCTGGTGAAGCTTCTCAGTTGGCTATTTTCTCGATCTCATCCAAATCATCTGTGTCCAATCTTTCTATCTTCTTATCTGAGGGAAAAACAAATTGGAAGACCACCGTGGACGACCATGGAAATGCATGCAACAGACAGAAGTCATCTAGAACAAACAGCAAGACAGGTAGTCTGGGGAAGCGCTTAGCTGTGGGACAATGATTCTTCCTCCAGGCACAAAGCAAGCTTCCTGAGCCTGAGCAGCTGGCAACAGGTCCCTGGTCACTCATACTGACTTCCCAGGAAAGTGGTCAGGTTCTCCTAGCTTGGTGCCAGGGCTCTGGTACTCCAGTGCCTGAGCCCTGAATGTGCAGGTGCTCTCCCTGACAACATCCAGGTGGAGACAGCTATGAAGGGATCTCAGAGCCCACCTCAGGGACAAAGGAACCCTCCCCTCTCCCATGCTCCCCTCTGAAGAGGGTTCCAGGCATAGCTAACTCAGGGACTCACTAAAATGCTCCTGGATTCTGTTGAGGATATTCATGCTGTGCTTGCTGTCAACCATGTTTACTGCCAGACCCCTCTTGCCAAAGCGGCCAGTGCGCCCGATGCGATGCAGGTAGGTCTCATTGTCTGGGTTCCCGTCCTTGTCCACAGGAAGGTCAAAATTGATGACGACAGACACTTGTTCAACATCAATACCTGCACAAAGGGGTTGAGGGGAGGCAGGCAGGAGACAAAGGGGGCCACCGTCAACCACACGCACCCACTTCCACTGGAGACATGGTCACATCTGGAGGCAGGTCACATCTGGGCTGTGGGCACTAAAGAGGACACCTATAGGACTATAGCTTGGGCAGAAGCACAGAACTCTGGCAGAAGAAAGAAAGCGAGTGTCTGGAAGCCTGAGTGTCTTCCCACCAAGGCAGGACTGCTGGCTTTGGCTTCTTCCAAGTGTTTCTTACTGCCCAACGGGAATTAGTCTCCCACAAAGCAATGTCCCTAAAACACTCCCATCTCTGTGAGACCAGGGATACAAGCAATACTCTTGCTCACAGGGCCTGGGACCCCAAGCCTGGTGAACGGGGCCAGTGTCTGCTCACCACGGGCACACACGTTGGTGGTCACCAGGACCTTCTCTTTGCCTTCCCGGAAGCGCTCAATAACAGCTGCCCTCTGTTCCACCATCATTTCTCCACTCAGCAGAGCCACCTGGTGGCCCTCTTTGGAGAGCTCTGCTGCCAGCCAGCTAGCTGTTTTGCGGGTCTG